GGTGCCCATATATAGGCTACCATGGAAAAGCTGGGGTTTATTCACATGCTGAAAGTTTTTGACCCCAGGTGTGTGCTAACAGGCCGCAAATATGTTTTTTTTTAACTAGGAGGGGAAAAAATCGATTTAAATCATGAATCGGATTTTTTGTGAAAAAATCGGAGATTTTTTTTTAGGCCATATCTCCCAGCCCTAGTTGACGTTGTGTTCAAAGGCATCGCACTGTGAAGGTTGTTTACAAGCGAATAATCCATTGTGCAGTTGTTAACTTAACTTATTACAAAACTTTTTCATTCGTTCTCGTTCATCCTCCAGGAGCACACACAGCACTGTCAAGCCGGCACTTTCGCTGAGCTAAAAGACTACAATGACTACAACCTTGTCGTAAACAACCCCCTTTCCGTTTCCGGTGGCGGATTACTACCAACGGACAATGAGGCTTGGATTACACAAAATGTCAAATAAATCATCACGGAAACCACAGTTTGCTACGATTTTTATGTCAGAACATCGACGAACACCACTGACCACTCGGTGAGTTTCATGGCATTGAAAACAAACGTGTAGGGTAGTTTTAGGACAGATTCACACATAGCCATAGGCAGCAATGTTAAGCCAGGCAGGGGAAAGCCAAATTCTCCGAAAATGAGCAATCGTCACTATTTTGGTCTTAGCCATTTCATCATAAACAACCCAGAAATGGGTCTCAAAGTGCAAAAATACCGGACTTCTCCTTTAATTAACATTAATACTAGCAAGCTTTTCGTACTGACTTGGTTTATTATTATGTCAGGATGTCAGAGGTTGGCTGCTCTGTGTTGTGTGTCTGCTTATAAATATGTGCAGGCAGTTTCACTTTCTAATCACTTGCAAAGTACATGTTCCTTTAAAAAATATACTTTTTTACTTATCCTCATGACTTGTAATTCATCAGTACCCACCCTTGCGTCTGACTATTGCGTAGGACTTTGGAGCTCTCTGTCCACAATGAATCCATTAAAATGTATTGTGCTGTTACTTTTTAAAACAGAAAACAAACTTTTTATATTGTGATATTTATTGAAAATGAAATATAATATAGCCAACAGCAAGTAGCCTAGCTTGTTATTGTTATTTAGTTTTAATTTAACTCCTTCCAGTAAGCTGCAACCTTATTTAGGTTTTTGTATTAAAATATGAAGGCATCATATAGAGAATTTCCCATTTCAGCTCCATGAATCAGCTGTTTCTTTCCACTATGGTGCTTTCAAAGCCAGCAACAGGAACACATAGAAACATCCAACAAAAGTTCAGCTCAAAACAGCGGATGCAGCCAGTCAGGACACTGCTTTTGTTGGCTCAAAACCAAAATGTTGTTATATAGGCACAATTTCAGTTTTCTTGAGAGACTAGTTCTGCCACGTCTAGTCTCATTACCCCAAAAAACGCATGAACTCTCAAGCAAACAAACAGCGTGCGCTGCTCTCATGTTGCTGACACCACTCTGGGCTAAGCAATTAATTGCACTCGTCCTGTAGTACACTAGTGGCTCCTTTAGACCACATATAAACATAATACTTTAATCACATTTTAATTTGCCAGAATGTGACAAATGTAGCTCTAGCAAAAGCTCAGTCAGAAAGACAATACTTTTCATGCTCAGGCTGTGAGTTTTCTTTCTTACCCAACCATTCACTCCTTTCACAAAATATCTCTCTATCTCCCTCTGGTGTCCAAGCGCCAAAGACATCCGTTAAATTTCAATTAGCACAAATCGTCTGTTAAAATGTACACTCATTTTCTGTATTAAATATAATCTTTACTTCATTGTTCTGTCTCTCATGATTGAAATGCCTGTCAGCTGGTTTGCATAAAATCAAAACGGTTAAAGCTCGTACACTGAATCTGCAAAATCAGAAATTGACCCAACTCTATTTTAAAGATGATGAACTCATAATGTATTTTCAACATTTTTTCAATAACTGCTGAGGCAGATAGCCACCAAGGACTGTGATAGTTTGCTAGTTCATGGTCTCATTATCAGTTTATGTCTTGTTTATTTTTTTCAATCCAATCCAATCCAATGTTATTTGTAAAGCACTTTAAAACAATCACAGAGTACCATAGTGCTGTACAGAAGAATAAATAAAAGACAAAACAGCTCGCACAAGGCATAAAATACAAGTAAAATAAATTAAGAGACATAAAACATTTGTAAAAAAAACAAAAAAAAACAAAAACAGCTATACAATAAAAACAAACAATAAAATAAAATAAAATCAACGTCTTAAAGGGTGTCAAAGGCCAGGGAGAAGAAATGGGTTTTAAGAAGAGATTTAAAAATTGACAGAGAAGACGCCTGTCTAATGTGCAGAGGCAGATTGTTCCACATTTTAGGAGCTGCCACAGCGAAAGCATTGTCCCCTCTGAGCTTGCGCTTAGTTTTTGGCACACTCAGGAGCAGCTAATCAGCTGACCTGGGAGAGCGGTTAGGTGAATAAATATGCAGCAGCTCAGAGAGGTAGGGCGGGGCAAGACCATTTAGGGATTTAAAAGCAAATAAAAGAATTTTAAAATGAATCCTAAAGTGTATGGGC